AGTTCTTGTGCTACAGTATTTCATCAAACTACGGGAATTGTGTTTTATCAAATTTTCTGTATAACTTCTCTTTATTTCGGACCCAAATACAGTTTGTTTGGCCAGAATACATGTTGTTTTAGCCGTAATATTTGTTTTCCTGTTAATGAAATAATTTCTGTCTGCACACAGATTCCTCCTCCTAATGAAGCCACAACATCTCCAGGTGAAGCAGCTCCATCGGTAGCTATCACTTTAATTTTGATCAATAAATCACTAAACTTTATTACCACTACTTCATATATCAACCAACTTTCAATATGACCAGTAATGCAATAAAAAAAATCACTCGGTCAAAGTTTGGATGTGTCACCTTTTGGGTTTGCATCTTTATTTTTTATAACTGTTGTTTAAGAAGAGCTCTATTGCCCATTATTCATTTAACGTCAGTCCACTTTATTTTTCTTATGTCTAATGATCTGTTACATTATTGTGCATGTGCACATTAAACTGAATTTGCTTTATAAATGTAATCTTATTCCAAAGCTATGCTTATTTGTGATTGATGGATAAATACTTTATTTATCCCGAGGGAAATTCAAGTATCCAGTAGCGTATGAAACGTACATACATTAAACATACATTTAACCTATATTAAAATCAAATTCAGAATTTAAATAAATTAGTGCAAAACGTTTGGTAATGAGTACAGATGGAGGTAGAAATTGCCCTATTATCTCTTGTCGAAAGAGTTTTTAAGTCTGTTGGTGGAGCTGGGCTGGGACAGCAGTCTGCCACTGAACACACTCCTCTGCCTGATATAGGTGTTGTGCAGAGGGTGGTGGGCGTAGTCCAGTATGGACAGCAGTTTGTCCAGGGTCCTTCTTTCTGCTTCCAGCTCTGAGCCCACCGCTGAGCCAGCTTTCCTCACCAGTCTCTCTTCTTGCTGCTTCCTCCCAGCAAACTCCAGCATAAAAGAGGACGCTGGCCACCACAGACTGGTGAAACATCTGCAGCAGTTTTTTGCAGATGTTGAAGGACCCCAGTCTTCTCAGGAAGTGCAGAAGGCTCTGCCCTTTCCTGTGGAGAGTGTCCATATTTGCTGTCCAGTCCAGCTTGTCATCCAGCTGCAGCCACAGATATTTGTAAGTCCTGACCACCTCCACATCAACCCCCTCGATGGACACAGGCTGGAGACGTGGTTTCTTCCCTCTGAAGTCCACCACCATCTCCTTGGTCTTGGAGGTGTTCAGCTGCAGATGGTTGGTCCTGCACCACCTCACAAAGTCCTCTACCAGGCTCCTGTACTCCTCCTCCTGTCCATCCTTGATGCAGCCGACTATCACAGTATCGTCTACAAGTATTTCTGCATGTGGCAGAGCCCGGTGTTGTTGATGTGTACAAGGTGAAGAGGACGGGAGAGAGCATGGTCCCCTGTGGTGCTCCGGTGCTGCTGACCACAGTGTCTGACGTGTGGCCCTTCAGTCTGACGTACTGTGGTCTCTCCGTGAGGTAGTCCATGTCACCAGGAGTGGGTCCACCCTCATCTCTGTCAGCTTTTCTCAGCAGGAGCGACCGGATGGTGTTGAAGGCGCTGGAGAAAAAAAAAAAAGAGCCATTCTCACAGCGTCGCTTTCCTTGTCCAGATGTACGGAGCCTCCTCAGCTCTCTGCTCACCTGATCCTTGGTGATGGTGGTAGGAAGGGGTGTTGAACTTTCCATGTGTGTGGATTGTGGGGGTGGTATGCAGTCTATCCCAGCATCCCCCTCTCCTGTGATACCACCCTTCTTCTTGCAGCCTGTGATGGTTTTCATGCCATCCCAGACCTCCTTTGCCTCTCTCAGGTGGACCTTGAGTTCCCCCTGTACGCGCTTCAGCTCATCTCTGTCACCATCCTTGAATGCCCTCTTCTTCCTGTTCAGGATGTCCTTGACATTACTGGTGATCCAGGGCTTGTTGTTGGGGAAGCAGCGTACAGTTCTAGTGGGGACCACAACGTCCATGCAGAAGTTCAGGTAGTCAGTAGTGCAGTGTGTGACCCCCTCGATGTCCTTACCATCACAGTCAGTACTGTGGCGTGAGCAGGACGAGGTTATGATCAGACTTTCCCATTGGGGAATGTCCTGTTCTTCCTGGTGGGGCAGCTTACAAACAGGTGAAAGTCTGACAGTGTGGAGTCCAATGTCACGTGGTTGATTACAGCGCGAGTCCCCCTCCTTTGTTTTTGCCGCTGCGTTCACAGTCCCGGTCCGCTCTCACTGTAGTAAATCCAGGTAGATCCACATTAGTGGTGTTCTGGGTTAGCCAGGTAAACTGCCCTCCTTGAACGTCCTGTCTGTCCTCATAAGGGCAGCCAGCTCGTCCGTCTTGTTGGTCGGACAGTTCACATTCCCCATCGCAGCCTCAGTGCTTCCTCTTCAGTTCCTCAGGTATGTGGTGGAAAATGCTGGCTCGTCCCATTGTTTGGAGTGAAAGCAGCTTCTCCCTTGAATAAACAAGATGTCCACCGCTATGTTGTCCATGAAAAGCCATTTACACAGCTAGTGTTATATAAAGAGTTCAAGTTTAAAAAACACACTTAAAGTATTTTTAAAAAACACGACATGTACGGAGCTACTGGATAAGTGTCTTGCTCGCAACAGCGCCCGAAACAATGTGTTTGCATATAAAATGTTATATCACTAAATGTTTTATCAGTCCAGTATATTTTTCCTTTTGTTGATAATAATTTTGAAGTGAGTTGGAAAATTATTTGTCACATGGGTGCCGAGTGCATGGGCAGGGTTTTAAACCCAAACACAGAAATATTAAATAAGGCTGGATCAGTTCTCTGGTTTTATTAAACAAAATCTCAAAAAGTACAAACATACCATGGTGGCATACCAAAGTAATTAAAATAATCCAGCAAAGCATGGTAAAAGTTCCCAAATAAAAAGCAATAATCCAGCTTGAATAAACAGTTGAGTATCAAAAAACCAAACTTCACAGAGCACAAATATGGAGACTGCAGACAGAAGGCATGAACTTTTAACAAACTTGTTTTATCAAATAAATACATATTTTAGAAAGCATATGTGTAATTTAAATATATTTCTCTTTTGTTAAAATGGCATTACATTTGGCAGGGAGCTCATTATGACATGTTTAGGATTCAAAACTCAAAATTTAGGACTTGGGACTAGACTCGATACTTGTCAGCCTTGACTTGGGACTTGAATGCAAAGACTTGAGACGTACTTGTAACTTGCAAAACAATGACTTGTATTCACCACTAATATGAGTATATATTTAATTCTGTTGGATATGTGTGTGTGAGAGAAATTGAAAGTGGAACTAAATGCTGTCTGTCCTGCAGGAAAAGATGCCGATCCCCTCTGTGGTTATTGAACCTGCTTCCAGTAACGAAGGGGATGATGACCGTGATGCTGACATCATCTCTCCCACCACCATAATGAGTGATAACGGTGTAACAGCTGAAAACCAGACCATCAAACACATAAGTCCATCCAGTGGAGTGTTGGGACTCCCTGATGACTTTCTGTACAAGGTGGGACTTCCTCCAGATACTAACTGCTAACTGTTGCAGCTGCGAATAAAACAAAATACATAACTGCTTTATGTACTTTTTTTTTTTTACAGAAATGACTAAAATGCTCATAGTGGTGATGGTGCTTTTCTTCTGCAGGTGGAGACGATGCATGATTTTGAGGCTGCAAATTCAGATGAGCTTGATCTAAAGAGAGGCGATGTGGTGTTGGTGCTTCCCACTGCTTCAGTAGAGGATCAGGTGAGAACCCCTGGTTGCTCAATAAGTGCAGCAATTCAAAAAATAAACAGAAGGCTGGTAGTGATATTTTGGTTGTTGTTGCAGGAAGCTGGCTGGCTAACAGGGATCAAAGAAAGTGACTGGTTAACACTTGGAGCTGGTGCTCAGAAAGGACTTTTCCCAGACAACTTTACCCAGCGTTTGGAGTAGGAAGTCTTTTCTGCTGGTGGATAAAATGAGCAGAGGTTTGAAACATCAGTGTCCAAGCCGTCCAGTCAGCATGTAGCCAACCCCTGAAAAAATATTAGAACCTGCTGCAACTGGCTGCTGGACAACACAAGGCTGTCTCTGGTAGATGAAACTAAAAGTCATAGTAATAAGAACTAGTTCTATTCCCAGCCTAACTTAAAATTAACACGCATGATGTGATAGTATGGTCTAACCTCTATGGGAACTGAGACTTTTTTTGAAAGAAAAAAGATTTATTGGGAATGTGGCAATCTACACATTCACACCTACAACAAGCAGATAAATAGTTTGTGAAGAAAAAAGAAAAACTATACCTTCGTTGCACCAAGTGTGTTGTACTGGTTTTGTTGCTCTGCCGTGGAATATACCAGAATCTGTAGTACTGTTATCTATTTAAATGTTCTTAAGTGTAACATGAAACTCTTGAGTTTCTTGGTTTTCTCAGACATGTCATTGCTGTTACCCTCAATTCACTGTCAGTGTTTTTCTGTGATATCATGGTTGAGTGTGTCTGGTGATCTTTTCTTTGGCACATATGGTGATGAATTAAGTCATTAATGAGTGTTACTGTGTTTTCAGCAAAATAATATTGACGTTTATTATCTGAGCATTGGAAAACAAACCTCTGAACATCTAGCATGAAAATCTCCAATGTTTCATCAAAGTAAGAATTCCAAGATTAAAAAAATACAATAAGACTCTGCCCACTAGTAAAATATCATTATATAGATGTATAAGTCACGTCTTATGATAATTATATATGAAAGAAATGGAGCTAATAATTTAAAGGCACGATGACTGGGAAGGTTTTAACAAATGCAATGTGCAACCTTGTTGGTATATTTCAGGTTTCTGTATTCCAGATCAGCATTCTGTAGACCGATAAATACGATGTCACTTCCTTTTAATAGTGAAGTTAAACCTCAGTGTATACCTTTTTGTGATGTACATACCATAAACATTTATGTCCAGATCAATAAATGAGAGTTCATATGGTAGAATTTCTCAAGGTGTTGTTGGGCCAATTATATTTCAGATTCGGGCATTGTAACCAATCTGGGTTTATATTCACAAAATATCTTTGATGAGGATTAGCCCTCGCCAGGAGAGCTCAGCACCAGCTACAGTAAGGAGGAACACATAGCAGCAAAGTGAGCTGCTGCATCCCATGCAGCCCAGGTACCCATCGGGGCCCAAAACGAAGCATGAAATAATCTTTCTTGACCATTCCCCATGAAAAGCCAGGGCCAGCCACAAGCTGCTGCCTTCCTAGCTTGTCTACAGCAGGGAGAAGAAAAGTGGTGAGGTAAGTCATTTTTAATCTCTGAGAGTCTTGGAGGTAGGATACAAGATTAAGGGAGTAAAATGGAGCCCAACCCCCAGAATGGGAGCTGAGTGGTTCACGGTCCTTCCTCTAGTCCAAAGAATCAGCCCAGAGCAGAATTCAACTACTGACTGGAATGACCCTGGTTTATTGGGCTCTCTTGTCCCTAAAGAGGGGATGAAACTGTCACTGACTTGGGCTTACACGTCCCCACAATTCAACAAACACCTGGTGTCTTCATCTCAATATGGATGGAGGTTTCCCAAAACCTTCAGACTCTAGTATTCCTTTTAATGACTCAGGCCCATGTAGCTACCGGTGCATTCACACCAACCTTGTTTAGTCCGGTTGAAACCAACCTTGGACCATTTCTTCCCTTGTTGCAATTCGTTTAGGTTGGTGTGAAGGCTGGAGTTGACTTATGGTGCACACCAAACAACCACACTCTGGTCCACCTGTTTTTTAGTGGGGTCATAAAATTCCACATCCCCTCAGCATTAACATAACCTACATTTTTAGCACTATGCCCACCTCAACCCTAACGCTACAGTACTTTAGCTTAGCCATCAGCGACTTTAGCTCAGCAGCTAGCGATGGCTTCTCCTTTTCCCTCTCGCTCTCCTACTTTCTCCTGCTTGGTGTGTCAGATTTTCAGTTACTCCTCTGCCTCCTTTAGCTGTAATGGTACGTTTAACAAGTGTAGTTTATTTGTAGACATAGAGGCGAGGCTCAGTGATTTAGAAGTCCGGCTCCGCACCTTGGTAGATCAGTCTTTAGCTACTGTAGCTAGCCAGTCCCCGGTAGTCGTTGCGGAACGGCCTGAGTTAGCCTCTGTAGCAGACCTAAATTTATTAGTTATGCATTTTAACAAATTTATGAGAATTGATACCCAATTATGAATTAAAATTCATAAAATCAAAATTTCCTCGTTAAGGGCACCACCGGAGTTGTTATAATCCTAGAGTCTCCGGACCTCTAGGTAGTTTTGAATAATTATACAATTATTACTAGTGATCAGTTAGTTAATAATCGCTCAATTATCTTAAATCAGTCAGTCAGTCTCATATCTAAAGGGTCAATTCTCTTGGCAGGAACTTGAAATAGGCAACACACACAGCTCTTGATTATATTACAGTGAATTTATTCTCTAACTAAGGTGATAAAAAGATGGTTGGATACAGGGAACATAAACATTTGCTGAACAATGAGCCTGGAGGTTCGATTGTGGGAAGCATTTGACTCATACGGCATAGAAGAGCTAATGAAAGTAAACTAATGCTATGATTTTAGGAGTTAAAATGGACATCTGATCACAGAACGTGTGTTAAGTCTTACTGCTTGTCGACAGCCTGCTTTTGGCCTGTTGCTGGTCCCACGCTAGCTGCCGATCCTGGCTTTTTGCTAGGGATTCTCCGGGGTTCTCCGTGTCTGATTGAAAACGCCTCCTCCGTCTGGCAATTCGGCTGTTTTCAGGTTTCCTTCGTTGTAGCTGGCGAGACCACGTGGCTTGGTCTGACCTCGGTGAAGTTGGCTTCGACGAAAAAGGCTTAAAATGGAACTTGGTCGTTCCTGAATTAGTCCAGTGTAACTTAACGGACTGATAACTTTAACAAACAAAAGAAATAAAGAAAATAAAACAAACTGAAGGCAGATCGATGTCGCGGCACTTCAGGTGTGTAGCTTCAAGCGAACAAAGGGCCTGTTTGTTTCGCTGGCCGAGTCTGGGCGTTGCCTGGCGAGGCACGCTGCTCGTGCCGAAGCGTCCAGAGGGCCGAGCAGAGTGGAAGAGCCAACGCAGAGTCGCAGTCTAACACACTTCTCTGCCCTTCTAATTCAGCAGTTACCCACCCAAAACCCTACGCAGAGTCGCAATCTAACACACTTCTCTGCCCTTCTTTTTCAGCAGTTACCCACCCAAAACCCTACGCAGAGTCGCAGTCTAACACACTTCTCTGCCCTTCTTTTTCAGCAGTTACCCACCCAAAACCCTACGCAGAGTCGCAGTCTAACACACTTCTCTGCCCTTCTTTTTCAGCAGTTACCCACCCAAAACCCTACGCAGAGTCGCAGTCTAACACACTTCTCTGCCCTTCTAATTCAGCAGTTACCCACCCAAAACCCTACGCAGAGTCGCAGTCTAACACACTTCTCTGCCCTTCTTTTTCAGCAGTTACCCACCCAAAACCCTACGCAGAGTCGCAATCTAACACACTTCTCTGCCCTTCTAATTCAGCAGTTACCCACCCAAAACCCTACACTAAGTGGTCCTGGAAGTGTTGTAAGTCTGTCCGAATGAGTGTTTCAATTTCGGGGGGTAATTTGCCCTTAGGGGGAACCCACTGCGATTTAGGGGTGAACAGTGGGCGGTCTGTGTCGGGTCTGTGTGCAAAGTAAGTCGCTAGTTTGAGTCGTCTGTGGTACTGTTGGATGTCAAATCTGATTTGTTTTTTGAGGTCCGGGTTGCTGCTGATTGAGGGAATGAAATTTAGGCCCCTGCTGAGTAGAGCAGACTGGGCTGCAGACAATTTAAAATTCTGGCACAGGTTAATTACATTTTTTCCCCCCGTCTGAGGACGTGTGTTCACGGGGGTACCTACTTTAACGACTCCAGCCAGTGGTCCAGCATGTGCTGGGCCGTGGAGTGAGACCAGTGGATGCCGTCTCTCTCGGTGGTGAAGTCGTTCCTTGGGAGAGCGGGGATAAACAGCTGATTGTTAGTGAGATAGTGGTTCAGCTGTCTGAGGTTCTCCTGCTCTGCGTGAGGTAGGTGTCTGGAGAAGTTAATCTCCGGCACCATGACTGTGGCCTGGGGAAAAGCCAGCTTCGCCATCCTGATTGCTCTCTGGACTTGTTTAACAGTGGTCATTGTTTTTTGTGCCCTGTTATTAACCCCAAAGGAGAGCACCAGTTTTTCAATGTTAGCAGACACATTGGTCCTCGCCAAAATGGCTTCTGCGTGCCTGAACGTGGCCCCAGGGAAGCTGTCTACTTGCAGGTCAGGGCACTGGAAAGGGGGAAACCTGGCAACATTTGAATCCCCAATAATCAGCCACTTGCTCCTGGCTGACAGGCACCACTCTTTCATTTTTCTGCTGGTGTTAATGTGTCGTGTGGGGCGACGTACCGGTGTGTTTGCTGCTGTTGCAGCTGCAGGTGGGTCAAAGGTCAGCTGTCTCTGAACAGGCCCCAAAGCAGGTTTTGGGGCAGGAGGCAGAGGTGCTACCTGCGGAGATGCCTCCACCATGATTACCTCGTCAGCCGTGGCCGTGGTGCTGGGGTTCTGGTGCCATGACATTGCTAAGGTGGTGTTTAGCTTTGATCAGTCTGTAGACCACTCTGGTTCTTAAGGTAAAGTCTGGGTCAGACGGCGGAGGGTCGCCTGTGCCGCGTTGCCCTCGGGTCGCTCTATTGAACCCCTCGTACCTGTTTGTTCTTCATAAATTTTGATTTATGAATAAAGAATTTTCCAAGCAAGATTAATAGATTGACTATGTATTGTACAGAGGAGTTTGAATCAGAGAAATAAAATAAAATGTCAAAATTGGATATTTTTATATTTGAGCCAAAGTGTCCATTAATGAAGCATTGTATATCATTCCACAGAGAAGAGCTGTATGAACAGCTATAGAATAAATGGTCCAACGTTTCTGTTTCCAGAGAGCAGAAGGAGCATTTTTCGTCTACAGTAGGGATAAATTTCGAGATAATCTCGTTACAGGGGTAACAATGGTGAAGATTTTAAATGATATTTCTTTAACTTTGTTTGTTATTAAAAGAATTTGTGGGTTACTCCATGTTCTATTCCAATTAATATTTTCATACCGGGGGGTCCATTTGTGCCTGCATGCAGGGATAGATTTTGCACATAAAAGGTTCTTAATTACTTTGTTGTTGACTTTTTTGTCTAGAAAAGATAGACCATTTATTGAAACACTGCTGGACAAAAATACATTCATTTGATCCAGATCTTTTTCACCTCTAAGTAAGGTTATGATCCCATTGGGAATAGCTCTGGTTACAACGTCAAATTCTTTTCTTGGAGGATGAAAGTTAAATTTAAGAGTGAAGTCTTCATATGTTAAAATTTGATTTGAGTTATTTAACAGTTGGGCTACCAGTACAATGTCATGTTTAAACCAGTTTTGTATAAAGAGAGTCTTGTTTCTATGTATGATGTTCCTGTTGTTCCAGATAAAACATTTGTGAGGGGAGAAATTGTGTTTGTATAAAAGTGACCAACAAGTTAGAGCCTGTTTATGGAAGTTTGACATTTTGACTGGCAGTCTGTTGATGGAGTATGGGCACTGAAGCAAGAATGTGCTTTTACCAAGTTTTTCAAAAATAAAGTTTGGAACAATGTTCCACAAACTGTTTGGATTTTTCAAAAATCTTTTAAGCCAGTTAATTTTTAATATTTCATTGAAAAGCGAGAAGTCAATTACCGATAAACCCCCTTCCTCAATTTTATTGGTCAAGATGTTTTTCCTGATTTTATGGGGCTTCTTCCTCCATATAAAATTATATAGTAGTTTGTCTAGATTGGCACATTGTAATTTAGTTATTTCTATAGATGTAAATAAATATGCTGCTCGTGAGAGACCTTCTGCTTTAGAAAGAAGAACCCTGCCATATGTAGATATATCTCTTGTAAGCCAAGAATCAAACTTTTTATTAATAGAGT